CAAAAGTTTTACTTTGACCTCTTAACTTTTAAAAAATATATTTTGACCCACTTAACTTTTTTAAAATTATATTTTGACCCTTTAATTTTTTTAAAGTATATTTCGATCCTTGAACTTTTGCACAATTATAATTTTGACCCTCAAATTTTTAAAAATTACAATTTGACCTATTTTATAAGTTTTTTTTTAATTTTTTTTTTTTTTTTTTTTTTTTTTTTTGCAAAAAATCCCTATTCAGCAACTCCACCTTACCTTCTTCCTTGCAAGCTTCCGATGTTGTCTTTGGATTAAGATTGAAGCTGAATTACATTATGATTAGGCTTAAGTTTTATCGAATTACAAACTAATACGTAAATACAATATGATAGTAAACATAATATAATATAATTTAATAATTTAATAACACAAATTAAATACCGTATTATAAAAAATTATACAATACAATAAGGTACACCAAAAGTGTCCTAGTGCAACAATTTAACTTAGCATATTTTAAGCTAAAAAAATCAAATATCAAGCAAGTACCATTCATATTTATCATAAGACCATTAGTATAATAGTTGGTTTTTTTTTTTTTGAAAGAAGTACAATAGTTGTTAAGAAGAGTAAAACTCGATAATTAATAACAAACAAAGTTAATAGTATCCTTCCAAAAAGAAGTTTATAATACTTGTAAATCCCAACTAACATGCAAAATAATAATAATAATAATAATAATAATAAACTTAAGAAAAAGACAAAAAATATGAATTCAAAAATTAATAAAAACACAAGAGTTATTTAAGCCTAATATCATTTTCATAACCAACTTATTTATCTTTACTACCTTCACTCACATCTTTAGGACCATACCACTTCCACAATAGAATAGGTGAATTTGCATGCATTTAAATGTTGCAATTCGTCTCTTTCAAAAGAAAAAAAAATACCTCGTTTAGTTTGCTGATTCGAGTTTCAATTCGAGCTGAGATGTGACTTTATATGAGAGCTTTTAACTGTAGCAGAAAAGGTTAGATGTGACTTTTTGTGATAGCTATTAACTGTAGTAAAACTGGAATTGAAAACTCGAATCGGTGAAATGAATGAAGCCGAACGTCCTTGAAAAAACTTCAAACTTCTAGTGAAATCTTCTGGAGATCGGCATCATGAGGAGGAGGCATGAGATCGACATGGCACAGAGGGGGTCATAGATCAGCGTAGCCTGGAGGAAGTTAGCGAAATTGGCGTCACACGAAGAGGGAGGCTGGAGATCTCTTCCCGGAGTATTCAATATCGCCCACGGCTTTGTCGATGTCACTCATGAATCCTTTAATCTCAACATGTTAATTGTTAATCTCACTCACCGTAAAACAGTCGGTATATTTGATGTTGAAACGCCAATCTTGTTGGCAGCCAAAACGGCGTGGCGATGACAACTAGAGTAGGGGCAACATCGAGGGAAGGGGAGAAGTGAGAGAAGAGAGAGAATGTGAGCATGGGAGAAATGAGAGAAGAGAGAGAACAATGAAACCTTAGCATATGTTTTTGTTTTTTTACTATCTGAAAATGAATTTTGAAAACTTTCTCATACAAGTGGTATATTGAATACTGGGTGGGAAAGTGGCATTCTATATATTAACCCTAAGTATAATTCCAAATATTATTACAAGGTGATTTCAAAAAATGTCCTTTTCGGAACCTAAATTAGGATGGTTCACAATTAATGCATAGTGTGGTGGGCAATTTGGCTGATTGATGATATAACATCTACGGATGAACAGTTTACCTGTGGGTATCTACTTCATGTAGGGTGTGTGTTGACAGTGAAAATTCATCAGCAGAATAATAATGAATTTCTAAATGGTTTGCGTGAGTTTTGTGATCAAAGTTACGGTAAAAAACAATTAAAAAGAAATAACACATAAGAATTATAGTGGTTCACCATTGATTCAAGAGCTATGTCCACTGTAGGGAGGAGAATTTACTTATTTTTCAAAGATAATTACACACTCTAATTGCTCTCAATGAAACTTAAGGATTTTTGGACCTACAATTCCTAGTTTATATAGTTCACCATCGTCTATGCTGATTTTCCTATTTAATTTGGTAATATTATGTTGAAGTTTATATTTAATTTTGATGCAATTTATTTAAGCATTAATAATATCGTTATATTTTCTTTTTTCTTAATAGGTAAATGGGTAGGTTAAAGAAAGTCCCTCCAATGAGAATTCTCCAAGCTCGACTTCAAATACACGGGTATAGACGATAGAGGTGGGTATGGGAGGCAAAAGTGAGAGTGAGGACGGAGGTGAGAGAAATATACCCGATCCTGTTCCGCGATGCTTATTCCTAATAACACCAAACTGGTGACTGGACAGGAGATGGTTTAAGGGGTTTTTTGTAGGGCTGACAATTTAGGTAGCGACACGACGACACGACTCGAAACCCGCACGAAATTAACGGGTTTGGGTTTATCATAAATAGGTTCAGGTCAAAATCAGGTCGAACTCGCGAAACACGATTAAATAACGTGTCATTTTCAGGTTGACCCGCCAACCCGTAATTGACCCGCGATAACCCGTTTATTAAACGTGTCATATTTAGGTAACACGATTATATGACCCGTTTGTTACTTGTTTATTACCTAGGTTAAAAATATTTCAGTATTTATATGTTTCTAATCTCCCAGCCGCCCAAGCCCAACATTCCTCCAAACCTTATTCTCCTCTTTACTCTCGACTCTCACTCTCTGTCTAACCTCTGTCTCCACTCTCCTCTCCTTCGCACTCTCTCTTCCTCAACTCTCCTCTCCGCCGCCTAAGCTCTTAGTCCACCGGAGGACCACCGCCTGAGCTCTCAGTCCACCGGAGGACCACTGCTTCTCTCAGTCCAGACCCACCCACCATTGTCGTCACCCACCCTCACCTCTTCTTCTTTCCTCTCTGCCTCATTCTCTCTAGACTCTCCACTCTCTCCGTCAGATTCGACCTTGGGGAGGTAGGGGAACAGATTCGGTCCTTATTCTTCTCATTCTTCGTCAAAATCGGCCTTGGGGAGCAGATTCTTTGCTTGGGGAACGGATTCCGTCTTGTTCTATAATCTATTGCTAGACATGAAGTTAATAAGTAAAGTCTGAAGTCAAGATGATTTGTCTATTGTTGGACATGAACGAAATAAGTATGTGATCTTTCTTCCTAGATGATCTATTGCAATTAATTGTTATCATTCAAAATTTTGAATGACTTAGACCCAGCAATAAGTTTTGAAGATCTTCTTCTTTTATTTTATTTTTATAATCTATGTTTACTTTTTCTGAGTAAATATTGCTTTTTATTTGTTCTCTAACCTTTGTTATGAGTTTATCGTTGGTGCTCATGGATTTATATATATATATATATATATTGTGTTTGTATGTGTTTTTGTTGGGGGGATGCTTCCTTATGTTCAATGGTAATGCATGTGTCATTTTAACTCAAACTAAACCTTTGTAGGCACTTTAAGAAACATTGATTCTGCTCGTCTATCAATCCCTACGACATTAAAGTATAATGAATCAAAGAAATGGTAAGGAACATCTTTCGACTATTTTATAATTATCTAGGACCTGGCATCTGTAATGGTTTTCAGTTACCTGACTCTTGGATCAAGCGAGTTTGTCTGTTTTATACTGTCCATGGTCATTCATAGCTCTGAGTTTGTGTTGCAGTTACATTTACAGAGCACGATTGGAAGAAACAGAACAGTATTGGAGAGGCTGGGATGTATTTCGGGTGTCTTAGCTTGTCGTTACTTTAGATATTTTTAATTGATACTACAACATTCAGATGTATATCCAACACTGGGTCTTGGAAGGATGATGTATTCTGGTATGGTGCACAATTTCATGGTTGAGTTGATGACAACCTTTTTTTGGACCGACTATTCCATATATTAGGTAGATTAGGTAAAAAAGTTGGAAACAAAAATTTCCATTAGTCAAAGGAGGAAAAAGAGGAACGCTTGAACTTAATATGAGTCTCTCCCTCATATAAATGGTTGATAGTACAAGTACACGACCATTCCTTTAGTTTCTGTTGCCAAATGAAGCACATTGTGGAAAAAGAAATGTATAACATGCGATGATTTTGCTAAGTTGCGATGCTAATGAATATGCTGATTGATGGTCTCTCTCTTTGCCAAGTTTTCAGGACACAAGTGAATATTTTGCCAAGTTTTCGTGTATATTTCAATGAAGAGGTGGAGGATCTTACACAAGATATCTTCAACTTTTCATTGAAAGATGAGGAGCCTTTCTTATAGAGATCAACTTCTCTTGAACGTAATGATGTACTTAGAGTTTCCCCACTGCAACAAATTATTTAAATGTTTAATTATTAATTATGTATGTTTATTTTCTAATTTGTGAGACTTTTATGTATTTATTTTCTAATTTGTGAGAGACTTTTACGTGTTTGTTTTAATTTTAAACTTAGATTATGTAATGTCTCTACATCATGTTAAACAGGTTGATAAACATATTTTATCACTCGTTTTATAAACAGGTACAGAAATAGGTCCACACGACATATTTATCACCCATTTCATAAATAGGTTTAGAAATAGGTTTAGAAATAGGTTCAAAAATAGGCTAACACGACCTATTAATCACTTATTTCATAAACGTGTTGGCAGGTAGTTAACGGGTTGACACGACACGTTTACGACCTGTTTAATAAACGGGTTATTCGTGTCATGTCGTGTCAACCCGCCAATATACATGTCGTGTTTGGGTTTTATATTTTGACACGATTAATAAACGGATCGTGTTCGTGTCAGACCTATTCGTGTCAACTGATAGGTTCAACACGACACGAACACGACCTGTCAACACGAATTGCCACCCTAATTTTTTGTTCACCCCTAGCGCCCCCAACCCTTCTCTTTTTCACTATTTTGCAAACAGAGGACAATTTTGTCTTTTTATAAGTGAAATCGACCTAAATCTAATTTCAAAATAGCTCGAACGTGTTGCAGCTTTCCCTCCACCCGGAAATATACACGAGAGAAACGAAAGGAACCCCTGAACTGCGAATCCAAACACTGCTTTATTCTTTCTCCAGATTCTACAAATATCCTCGTCTTCATACCAGGTTAACGGATTTTACTCTCTCTCTCTGGATTTTGCTCCAACTATAATTTTTTTTTCTTCGAGGGTTTCTGTTTGTAAGCAATTCGTGGGATACTCTTTTGCATTCTTTTATTCGGAAATCTTAGTACATTATTACAATAATAATAATAATTTTTTTTTTGTTTTATGGTATCTCTCTTCATTTATTTAGTAAAGAGTGGAAGCAATTTGGGAAGAAAGAGGAATTACTGGGAAAATTTGCGGAAAATATTCTATCTTGGTTTCCTTTTTTTTTTTTATTTTATTTTTAAAGTGGATTTCATTTTACTTATTGTCTTCTTGAACTATTTAAGGAAATATTGGCCATTTTATTCCAGTTTGTGAATAATGGATCAAAAGACACACGATGGAGCCAAACAGAACATTTTGGATTTCAAGTGTAAAAAGAAGACTGATTTCACCGAAAAGTCCGGAGTTGTTGAGACCAAAACTTTGGAACCCAAGATTTCATGTCAGACGCCAGAGAAGATAAACGAGCCTTTACACAACAAGCTCAAGGAAGGGCTAGTTAAACTTCCTGAGAAGTGGGTAACTTTGTGCCTAGAGTTTCACTTGAAAAACATTCTTGGTTGAATATGATATTTTGACATTTTTCTTTGTTTTCAGATATAGAATCCTAGCGGAGTTATTCGATCATATGAGTTGTTCGTTGAGGTTGCTTAGTCTATATAAAAGGTTGCCTACTTTTGGAAATATTTCTACTGAAATTGGGGTTTTGGCACAAAGGTATTTGTAACCATACAACTCTTATTTCTTCTTATTAGTTTTGATTAGTTTAAATAAATTGATTAGTTTTGCAGAGTATAGGCTATTAACCATCCAATTTTGTTTCTTACTTTAATATTATTGTGTTCCTAGTGATTTTGTTTAAGCAATTTAAGACGTGGTTGTGGCTTTCCAAAATTCTAGGTTTTAAGCTCAATGCAATAAATGACTGGACTAAAAGTGTAAACTTGTAAGAGATCGAGGATCAATAACATGAATTACTGGAAGTAAAGAGAATAATTATTAAGACCTCTCTGTTTGTTTGCTCAAACTAGAGATATGCAAATAAAAATCGAGCATCCTGAGATTAAGATCATGTCCTTTATATAATGCACATAGTACGGTCGCTCATAATGTGCAGCTTACCATGACGTATTGTTTACTCAGTAAGATGGAAAATTCACAACTCAAAGGACACCATGTTCTTAATTGTTCAGAGCTAGCCCAAATTGGCTGGTCTAACTAAATTCTCTACCCATTTTGAATATTGAGGCTTTGATGTGGGGTTACGTCAAGTATTCTAATGTTGAAATCGCGACCCTTGTTTCTTCTTCTCTAACTTCCAAAGAATTCAATGCATATAAGCCTTAGGTCTGTGTTCCTATCAAAAAATATAAGCCTTAGGTCTGTCCTTCCTTCACCAAAACGAGTTATGTTAGTTTGCCTGTTTCTTTTTGGCAACAACTGACTTGTCTTTTCCTACTCTGAAGTTTGGGAAATATGTTTATGAATGTATATATGAACATATTTGTCTACATGCGTCTATAAAATTGTAGTTTCTATATATATACAGTGTTATATAATTAGCTTACTCACGTTATGGCCTAATGTTGTATCATACGGTCATGAGTTGATAATAGCCTCCAAAACCTAACTCATCATGATGACGACCTATAATCATGATTTGCAGATACTATGCTATTCAATTTTGGAATAATTTGTTTTCCTTTTCGCTTAAAATATATGTGCTACATCTGCCAACTTTTTCTAGATTTTTACTAAGATATTGTTGTCAGAGACATTATGCTACCTAGAAAATGTACCATTTTGATGCGAACAGAGAAACTGGGTTAGAAACGAAGGTCTGCATTTCAATGTGAATACTAAGCTTTACTTGCAAGAGATGTCATATCAGGTTCTTAAACACATGCATCATCTTGAGTTGCCCAAGTGTATGCAGGGATATTCTTGGTTAAAAATACATATTAGAAATTTGACATGGAAAAAGGTCTTGATATTAGATTGCATCAGTATACAGTATACAGACATCAAGCTCATCGGTTTACGCTAGATTTATGCTCTTTTGACGCATCCAGTATTTTTATGGTCAAATTAGGTTGTGTCAACTGGCGTTTGCTGGGATGGAGTTTCATATTCAAGTAATAAAGATGCTATTGCTAGGCCAGCACAGAGACAACCTTGCACTGTTAAGTCATGAAAAGTATACATTAGAAGCTGGTGCAAATAATAAGTTACCAATTCTGCAAGTCATGAAAAGGATACTTAGAAGCTGGTGCAAATAATAAGTTACCAATTCCACTTACCTTTTAACAATGCAAAAGATATGGTCCGCAAGAGGACTTCTCGTTTTTCTTTTCCTTCTGCATTGTTGTTTCTTCTTTGACAATATTCTTGTCATAGGGAAAAAAAAAAAAGAGAAAGAGAAACGAAAAACATTATCGCTTGCTCTTGCTTATTTATCTAATTATAGTGAGCTATAATGGTTTTAACTTTTCAATGGGAGAACTGTGTATGCTTGCCCTTACTATTTGGATATATGACCCTCGTGTAAAATGTAAATGATATAAAAACAAGAAAGACGATCTGTTTTGAAGTTCTGATAATTTTCCTTGTACAGCTTTTGCCATTGCATATTGAATGCTCTTGTTCTTGTCCAGAAAATTTTCACACATGCATCTTGCACAGATGAAGTACATACTTCCTGAAGCCTTACAAATAGATAAGATTGTCATACATGACAAGAGAACCCTATGCATGAAGCCTGATATGAAGATCACTTTGCTCTTTGAACTTGTGGAAGGCCACTCTGAAGTGTCTGATTTTATAGCTCTATGCCAAGTGTTTTCCTCAAGGCTTTATAACTTCTTTACCACACATCCAGAGGTATTTTTGTTTTTGAAGTGACTGTTTTTTTACAGTTCTGAAATTGTGTATCAATCATCTAAACGTAACTTAGAAACGTTTGCAATAAATTGTGGACCAAGATAGTTGACCTTTTGTCTAGGTTGAAAAAGAAAAGGGCATGTTTTCAAAAGAAAAAAAAAAAAACAGAGAAGTGGCTACGACTACCACAAATTTCACATGTTACAATGGACGTTATTTTTGTTGTTTATCTGGCTGCTATTTGAAGAAATTGTCAACCGCAAAGAGCTGGATACTTTAACATGTGCCCCTTGTGAGATGGAAGCAGATATACCAAATACTATTCTCAGCTGAATAATTAAAAGAAAATAATACTGCAGGGCATAAAACTTTTTAGACTAATTTCTCATTGTCTAGAAATTTAATGTCTGTTTTTGGATTTTGCTTGTAATTCTTCTGCGTTTAATTAATGTAGTGAATTTTGTTGTGGACTAGGCTAGTGATGTTCCAGAGGCCGTGTTGCCTGAGCCTTTCACCCAAAGAAGTCAGGTCACTGTTCCCCATGAGTTGCCTGCTGATTGTTATGAAGAATCTCAGCTAACGTTCACTCAAACAGAGTTTTCCTCAGAAAAATTCAACCCAGGTTCACATTTTAGCAGACATTTCTCTCAGAAAGCTGTCGTCGCCAAAACAGAAAAGACCCAAGCTTTAGCATCTGTGGATGTACCTCCCATCAATACTGTAGACAAGCAAGACAACAAAAGTGAGCAGCAAAAAGAATTGGTTGATTTGATTTCAGTATCTAATTTTGTCATTAGCCAAGATACCGAGAATGAGATGCAAAACAACTCTCCTGGTACATGTTCCAAGTCTGTCTGGAAGAACCCCCAATTACAATCAAACTCTCTTCAGTGCTCTCGTGGTAGTGTCATTGAAAGCCCTGCTTGCAAGCTTACATCATCTAATGATAGTTCTACAATAGAGACACAGACACCTTTACAGTCAGTACCAAAGAGATCGGTTTCCAGTTGTGTTATATCACAACAGATGATGACCAGCCAGAGGTCCACTCCATTTTGCAAGCCTGCGAAAAGAGCTCTTGACTTTTGTCACTCAGAAGGTGATGATGAAAGTACATTGGATTCTGGTGCAGACGAGTCAAAATGTGATGAAGTTGTACGCAAACACACCTTTCAAATTCCCAAAGGATTTTCTAAGGATGGAAATATTCATGGTTCTTCATCACCACTACGAGAGGTAGGCTTCTATTCTCTTGCATCCACCCATTTACTAGATGTATATTTGGCATATATCTCACCTCATTCAACTGCTTTGCCACAAGTTGGTTCTTTCAGATATGAATTTTGTATTTAAAATGTCAAATCTGTCAATTAGAAATGACTACCGTTTGGCTCATCTTTGGAGGAAGTATCTGCTTCTAGTGGCCATATTTTTGTGGATATTAATTTTAACTTTTTATAACTAGTGAATGCTGGCAGTGCTGATATAGTAACCCATAGTTTTGTGATGGCAAGTTATGTTTCTTGACTCATCGAGCAAACAAAAAAAAAAAAAATAGAATTTATGTTTTCTTTACTATGGAACAATTCGAAGAATTGTGCATCATTGGAATGTGAAGTGGGAAGGTTTATCCATAACAGTGTACACTATTTTTCTACTGTAATCATTTAACTTACCATTTTGCTGTTTTTATGAATCATGTAGTTGTTTACCATTTCGGATATCCGGTATAGTTGGACTAAAGTCAAGTCAAGTCTCAAGATACTCCAGATTATTTTTTAGTGTTTTCAACCTTTATATGAAGCTCTGTTGATATAAAAAGTAATGAGGTCTGCCATCTTTTATGGGATATGGACATCTAGTTGCTTCCTGGCAGTGAATCGTGGACTGTGCATCATTAGGCAATAATATGTACCTTATGATATTTGACTGGCTTCCTTCACCTATCATGAAAAAGGGAAAAGGAAAACAAAAAAAAAAAGAAAAACAAAAGGTTTCCCCCTGCCAGTTTGTTAGACCTCCATCCCTCAGGTTTGTTTACGCTAAAAGAAAGAAGAAGAATGCGCAAGGGCAGGTTGGGAATTTTACCCCAGGGCCAGGGCAAGTGGTGAGGGATGTTCGTTAGGATACGGTTATGTGGTATTGTGTAAGGGAGGGGTATCGGGAGAAGAGTTAGTTACGGGGAATTAGAATAAATAGCCTAAGGCTGCTTAGTAGAGGTTATTGAGAATTTATAAAGGAATTGAGTGTGTGGAGGTCTGGAGGAGTCCTCGAACTCTCCTCCATCCCTCTTTCCAATTTTGTTATTTCTTTGTTGATTCAATAAAAGGAACCAAACCACTTTTTTGGTTATTACCCCATAATTCTCGCTAATTATGTGGTTTACTACCCTTATTTGCCTCAAAAGAGAGGAATCCTAACACAGTTGGCCTTGACGATTAAACATAGCAGGGTATCTTTTTCAATGTCTGGTATTCATATGATATAAGTAGAAGATATCTTCTCTTTTTTTTTCCCTCCAAATATTAGTTAAAACTTTTTAACAGTGTATAGAGAAAAAGAAAATATTTCTGATTCTTTTGGCACTTTTTAGAATTACTGTTCTATCATTTTGAAATTTGCACTCTTCGTGTTGTGACTAGCAAGTTCAATGGTAATGTTTCTTTGGCACGTGAAGTTTTCTTCTAGAAGATGCACAAATATGTCACAGTTTCCTTCTGTATGCATTATAATTCAGTCGTGTGTTAAGATCCGTTAATGACTTGGGAACTTGTTTGGTTAGTGGGCTGGTATAGTTAGTAGGAATTAGTATAAATAAAGGGTTTAGTAGCTCACTAGAGGTATGTTGTGATTTTGAGAATTTTGGGAGACTGAGATTAAGGAGAGCGGTGGTCTCTCGAAATCAAATTAGGAGTCCCCGGAGTACTCGAATTCTCCGTTCTATCCTTTACTTTTCCATTTAGTAGTGTTTGGTAGTGTAATTGGAGATTGGCTAGTGGTTTTCAATAAAAGAATTCCCTTATTTTTATCCAATTCCTTGTCAATTTCAGGATTGATATGTGTATGTTTGGCTGTGAAAAACCTAAGTTCCTAACAATTTGGTATCAGAGCTCCGATCCATGGCACCTAAACCAGCGGATCTGGAGAGGGTGACTATGGTGGAAAAGGGACTGGCGGTGGTCCAGGAGGCGGTCCACGCGGTGCTGACCGAGAATCTTCCGCAGATCCGTGAAGAAGTGGATGGGCTGCGTGGTGAACTGGGGGAGGTTCGGACTCAGATGGAAGACGTGCAGGCGGCGCTGCGGAGGATGGAGGCACTGTTGGCAGCGCGGCTGATGGTCGGGGTGGCCGATTTGGGTTGCGACAGGACGAGGAGAGGCGAGATCGCGCGTCTCGGGGAGAGGAGAGCCCAGATCGCGACGACCTAGGCGGAGTGGAGGTGCCAAATCGGGCGGATCTTCGCTGGGAAGCGCCGATTCGCGAAGATCGAGGCCGCGAGGAGTTATGACGCCGGAGAGACGTGGGTCTCATGGAGGAGCGCGAGATCCGTCGCGACCTAGGGTTGGGTGGTCCGGATTTCAGCGCGAGGGTTTGTTTGACGACGGGAGGAGGGCGGAAGGAGGTCGCGACCTTCAAGAGAGGGCGGCGGAGCTTGGTCGGCAACGGGAACCGGAGTGGGAGCCGGAGTTAGAGGAGGAGAGGCTTGCTCCGGGGCTAGGACGGCATGGGTACCCTCGGAACAGGGAACACAGCCCTGATTCGGTCGCGGTTGGGGCTGATTCCGGCCCGGTTTGGATCGGGCCTCGTGATTCTGGTTCGTCTTAGGCTAATTCAGGCTGGATTTGGACTGGGTCACGCGAGTTCGGCCTGATTTGGGAGGATTCCGGCGAAATTAGGGATGGGTCCCGAAATTATGGCGGCCCTAGATCTGGGTTTTGCGATTCTAATGTGATTGAGACTGATTTTGATGATGTTAGGGTTGGGCCTCGAACTTACAGCAAGATTAGAGCCAATTACAGCCAAATATGGATTGGATCTTCAAGTTTTGGCATGACTGGGGTTAGGTCTACGCAATCTGAGTTGGGTGAGGGAGATTGGGTTTTGCAATCTGAATTTGAGAGAGTGAGTTGGGTCTTCCCGATTTGGAGTCAGAACCAATCCAAGGGTTTCGAGTAGGGGTTGGTATAGTTAGTAGGAATTAATATAAATAAAGGTCCTAGTAGCTCACTAGTGGTATGTTGTGATTTTGAGAATTTTGGGAGACTGAGATTAGGGAGAGCGATGATCTCTCTAATACCATCAAATTAGGAGTCCCCGGAGTACTCGAATTCTCCGTTCTATCCTTTACTTTTCCGTTTAGTAGTGTAATTGGAGATTGGCTAGTGGTTTTCAATAAAAGAACTCTTATTTTTATCCAATTCCTTGTCAATTTCAGGATTGAATTGTGTATGTTTGGCTGTGAAAAACCTAGGTTCCTAACAATTTGGTATCAGAACTCCGATCCATGGCACCTAAACCAACGGATCTGGAGAGGGTGACTACGGTGGAAAAGGGATTGGCGGTGGTCCAGGAGGCGGTCCACGCGGTGGTGACCGAGAATCTTCCGCAGATTCGTGAAGAAGTGGCTGGGCTGCGTGGTGAACTGGGGGAGGTTCGGATTTAGATGGAAGACGTGCAGGCGGCACTGCGGAGGATGGAGGCACTTTTGGCGGCGCGGCCGATGGTCGGGGTGGCTGATTTGGGTTGGGACGGGACGAGGAGAGGCGAGATTGCGTGCCTCGGGGAGAGGAGAGCCCAGATTGCGACGACCTAGGTGGAGTGGAGGTGCCAAATCAGGTGGATCTTCGCTGGGAAGCGCTGATTCGCGAAGATCGATGCCGCGAGAAGTTGTTCTGACGCCGGAGAGACGTGGGTCTCATGGAGGAGCGCAAGATCCGTTGCGACCTGGGGTTGGGTGGTCCGGATCTATAGCGCGAGGGTTTGTTTGACGACGGGTGCAGGGCGGAAGGAGGCTGCGACCGTCAGGAGAGGGCGGCGGAGCTTGGTCGGCAACGGGAACCGGAGTGGGAGCCGGAGTTAGAGGAGGAGAGGCTTGCTCCGGGGCTGGGACGGGATGGGTACCTTCAGAACAAGGAACACAGCCCTGATTCGGTCGCGGTTGGGGCTGATTCCGGCCTAGTTTGGATCGGGCCTCGTGATTCCGGTTCGTCTGAGGCTAATTCAGGCTGGATTTGGACTGGGTCACGCGAGTTCGGCCTGATTTAGGATGATTCCGGCGAAACTAGGGATGGGTCCCGAAATTATGGCGGCCCTAGATCTGGGTTTTGCGATTCTAATGTGATTGAGACTGATTTCGATGATGTTAGGGTTGGGCCTCAAACTTACAGCAAGATTAGAGCCAATTACAGCCAAATATGGACTGGATCTTCAAGTTTTGGCATGACTGGGGTTAGGTCTACGCAATCTGAGTTGGGTGAGGGAGATTGGGTTTTGCAATCTGAATTTGAGAGAGTGAGTTGGGTCTTCTCGATTTGGAGTCAGAACCAATCCATGGGTTTCGAGTAGGGGTTGGTATAGTTAGTAGGAATTAGTATAAATAAAGGGCTTAGTAGCTCACTAGTGGTATGTTGTGATTTTGAGAATTTTGGGAGACTGAGATTAGGGAGAGCGGTGGTCTCTCGAATACCATCAAATTAGGAGACCCCGGAGTACTCGAATTCTCTGTTCTATTTTACTTTTCCGTTTAGTAGTGTTTGGTAGTGTAATTGGAGATTGACTAGTGGTTTTCAATAAAAGAATTCCCTTATTTTTATTCAATTCCTTGTCAATTTCAGGATTGATATGTGTATGTTTGGCTGTTTGGCTGTGGAAAACCTAGGTTCCTAACATCGTGCTGAGATTTCCTTTTATCTATGTTGTAGCAGTTGTGGTTCCATTATTTTCTGAGATGCGATTTGCATTTTCTATCTCAGGTAGAAGAAGGCTTTGGTTCCCTTTCTGAGGTTTGCAACGAGAGTCAAAGAGGTGAACACCAACATATCTCTTCTTGCCTGGTTGACATGGTTTCTTTGATTTGCTCTATATTCAAGTCTGTCAACTGCTACCCCATCACAAAGGAAGAGCTTGTGCACAAGATAATTATGTATAGTTTAGATATTGTTGACAAAAGTAAGTGTAATGTTAACTAAAAATGCAAATTATGATTGCTTTTCACATATCTAGCATTTGACATGTCTTGTTTTCTTTGCAGAAGAAGTTGAAGATCATATTGATCTTCTTGAGCAGCTTGTTCCAGATTGGATATACAGGAAGCTGGCTCCGAGTGGAGATATTATGTACAAGTGAGTTGTTTTTGTTCTTTTACGAGTTAGTGGACATCATACCTCTCGTCAATCAATATATTATGCATATCTTTGTGAGTAAAGGGACTTTTATACACATGTATTTTCTGATAAAAATATTTTAAATGAGTATAATATCAGAAAAGTAGATTGAGCAGACTAAATAACACCTTGGTGTCCTGAGGATTCAATATAATTTATTCAAGAAAGAAATTAGGAGTTAATTCCTCTTTGTGCAGTGTAAGTTTGTACTTTGTTATCAGGTTAAGTTCAAATTGCAACATTTTTTTACTCTTTTTTTTATTTTTTATTTTTACTTATATATTTATTTGATTCTAGTAAGACAAAGTTCAGGTTAGGTTAAAATTTCTACGTTCCTTTGATGCAAATAAGAGAATGGTTTAGTTTAAAAGGTTCAAAAGCTAAGTATTCTAGTTCTTATTAGAGTTATTATCTTATATTAAAATTTCCCTATAGGAAGAAAGAATGACTATAGGACCGTTTGGCATTGCTTGCAGGAAGCTGCTCTTAGCTTCTTGGGTGTGAAAGTTGGTTCTGGGAGGGATAATTTTTTAGGAGAATATTAAACCAAAACTTTTAAGGACTTCTGCCACTTTTTTCTGAAGAATTTGATTTCTTCCATTCTGTGAAATATTGTCAATTTTCTTCTACTTACTGTAACTTATTTCCATTTTGTAATATATATATTGTATTTATAGTAGTTAGCCGGGGTTTTCCATTAGACCGAGTACCGCCATACAACCTTATAGATTACATCAATGGTATATAGTAGTACCTTAGATTGATTGTAATCGATCATTATCGAAGTAAGAGAAATTACTTCTTATTGTATTATTAGTTATTGTTGTTTTATTTATAGTAGTTATAGTACAACTTGGACCTTCTTTTGGGGCAACTATAATCTATCACTAATTATACACACATTGGAAAGACCCTCTTTGCATTTATCTTTTAATTTTTATTTTTGCACTTTGCGCTTGTGTCTTGCCTCATCCAATTGTTTCTCGTCCTTCCACAGAAAACATAATTTGAGTCTCTTTGTTCTCTTTGTTAATTTTTTTTTTTATTTGTTTTCCCCTTTTGTTTTGCTTGTTTCTCCTATTTATTACTTGTTCCTTTGGCTTGAACACGCATGTTTCATATTTTAGTATGACTTACCATACATAAATCTTATCTTCACCTTTCTATGCGTGTTTACTAGTTTATTGCAAGTATTACTTCTTTTACTACAAAATACCTATATTTCATATTGGCATGTTATCTTGATGGATAGATGTTTAACATAATTTACCGTTGCCATTTGCCACCCTTCTCTTTGCTATATTAATTTGTTACTTTAGTTCGGCGGATTTTTCCAAATCATAATTTTTTTTTTATGGCTACACTAGCTAAATCTCCTACTCAAATTTAACTAGTCTTTTTCTGTTTAATGGTTGAACGTGGATCTGTAACACCTTTACCATATCAAAAGGCAAAGAAATTATTTTTTTATTTTTTCTTTTTTAAGATAATCCTGACCTATTGTCAATTCTGTATTGTTTGGTCTTGTGCAGTATCAAGGACATCTCAGATCTTGACTCAATTCGAGCGAAGCTAACGAGTGTTTGAGAACATAGTTACAGGTATGACTTCTGTTACTTTGCAACACTAGAAGAATAAAATATCTGTCCCTTGTGCGACTAGGTTTTTGATTTCTGCATTTTCATTTTCGCTTCCAGGTGTTTTATCTTGGAAACTGTAGTGATTTTCCATGCCCAACTGAATGACTTCCATATCGGCAAGGACCTCTTATTGTATTTATTGAACATCCTATAAAACAATGGAATTCTTGGTGATCTTGTTGGCTATATGTTGTTATTTTATTATACTGATACAGTAACGGTGTTTTTCAGGCAACAGTGAAGATGGTGAAATTTCTAGTTCAGAGACAAAATAGTATTCCATCCATTGGAAGGTTTTCTCCTCCGCCCGGACCGCCCCACTCTTGAATCCACAACCAGAAGGTTCACGACTTAGAAATGTAGTAGTTTATGTTTAATTATAAAGTTCACATGCATGAAGATATGGGAATTGTGAATCTGTTTATGTTTTTCTTCTGAAAAGTAACCCTGTTGGTTTGGAGTTTTTGGTGAAATGATACCTGAGCCCAAACCTTTATGAGGTAATTGCAATCACTACTGTTTCCAAAATTGGTTTTTCAAAAAACATAATTTTTTATTATTTTTATTAGTTTTTTAGTTATAAGCATTATTGGTCCTTAAACTATGAGCATTGTGCCATTTTGGTTTCTATTTTTTTTTTTGGTATATTACTCCATTAATTTTGTTTTGTTTTCGTTTTTTTTTTTTTTTGTTTTGTTGTTTTTTTGTTTTTTTTTTGGTCTCTAACACTAAAACTAAGAAGTATTTCCATAATATAACAGAGATAATGACATTCATATAACAACTGAAGTTTACAGACACAATTACATATTTTTGCAATATGTTAATACTTTTTAAGGGTTTTAACAGTAGCGAAGAGAATATTTCTGTACTTAATGTTAATATTTTTGTAAAATTTCAACTTATTACGCGATGAGGCAATGATTATTTCTTGTTGAATTATTGAAATCTGTCGTAAATTTTATGGTCAAGAAACAAAATGCCAAAAACATAGCAATTGAGTAGTTCCTCGAAATAAAAAGTTTAGGGATATAAAATGTTATAATTATAATGGGTGCATTTAGAACTCGTAAATGAAAGTAAAAATATTTTTAATCTTAGATAAAAATTATTTTTAAAAACGCGTTTAATAGTTTTATTAAGAGATTGTTTTCAGTATAAAAAAATCAATTATCTCTCTTTTTGTGCTTGAGAGAGGAGAAAATAGAAATAAAAAATGAAAAATGATTAAAAATCGTTTTTTCATTTCTTTCTCATTTTACACTAAATTAAACAATCATTTCCATTTCTTTTTTTATCTTTAATTGTATTAAATGTCGTTTCTCTCCCGTTTTTATTTTTTTTTTCTCGAAAAACATGAAAAACAAAAATAAAACTAATTTTAAACGCGGTCAATATATCTTGAAGCTAATGCGAATATACACATTTATTAGAGAAATCATAAAATAGGATATCAAACATTATGTTTAAGGTAGGCGGCATGCGCATACACCCGAACGTGTGGAGGGAGGTTTTCGACAGATTCCCTCAATTGATTGGGAGTTTATTCTCTTGCATCTTTTATTACATGTTTTATTATCATAACACTGTTTCCGAAACTTCACAATAACCCATTCGTCGCATTCTGTCATTTAGATTTTAGACAAAGAAAAAAAGTTAATTTAGAATAAGGAAGTAGAAAACGAAAAAGAAACAACAGAAACATATATACATTTTGATAGAAAAGCAGAACATAAACATGTTAGGATTAGCAATTTGGGTTAAGATACGATAATACGACTCAAAATCTGTACGAAATTAGAGGGTTTTGGTTCTTTTTTTAAAAATAGGTTTAGGTAAAAAAAAAATTAAACCCGCCAGACACGATTAAATAAACATGTCATAAATAGATTGACACGAATAAGATACATTTTTAACTCATTTAATACTTGTTTTATTTAGATATGCAAGAGGTTTCAATACAAAGGCCCTCTAGACAGGCAACCTTGCAATACGAAAGCCTAGCGGCACTAACTTATGTGATACGACATTGTTGATCCTCACAAAAAAAGAAAGAGTGGAGGCTCTATAAATAGGCTACGTGTCATCTCTCCATTTGCTATCCTCTGCTGACCTGAAGTCCTAGCCATTTCCTACAATTTGAATATCGATACCAAACAAATTCAAATGATGATTTATAGTGTGTTTGGTTGGTAGATTCGTATCTTAATTTGAATTATAGTTTGTGGTTCGCTATAATATTTTTTTTCACACAAAACACATGCAAACTGAGAATGATTCTGAATCTATGAACCAAACGTAAAATAGTTTTATTTTCACAACGTTCAGTTGCCCACTCATAAAGCTAAATTTAGACCGGACTAAACGGGCGGTCTAAAGCCTGCTACTGTTAGTTAGGATTCAATCCTAAATTTTTTGAGTTAAGGGTGGGAATGGGTTGACATTCTGGGCATGTTCTTTTGTCCAAAAAACTCAAAAAAAGACAACTCAAGTTTCAACTTTATTCAAGTCCACATTCTTTTAAGTTTTAACTTTATTCAATTTTACTCAACTTTATTCAAGTTCTAACTTCAACTCAAGTTATAACTCAAATTCAACTCAAAAACTACACTCAAATTACACTCTAAAAGAACAACCTCTCTGTCTTTTAAGGCTAGTCCAAAAATCATATTTTTAAATTTGTTTTAAAAATACTTTATAAAATTTCAGATCTTAAATTTTTTGAGATTAAGACTATGTTGGGCCAACCTTCTTTTTCTTTTAGGGATGAGCCTAGCCGGCCCAAAATTTTCCTTTTAAGTTTCAGGCCGCATTCTAAACTTACACCTCTATACCCATATATCATTTATTCATTTTCGTTGCCAGCGGTTGGATTAAATTCAACGGTTCACGCAAAATTATTTTACGACTCCCGGCAAACCAGCCATTGCCATGTTATAACCTATTTATTATTCATTATTACCATGTTCAAGTTGTCAAGATGTCCGAATTCCGGTGCAGATTCTTTTCTCTTTTTATTTTAATTTTTTGTTTATTTTATTCAAATTTTGACACTTTATTTTCATATTATGAATAATAAAAAATCTAAAAAGTATCCCCAAAATTTTGTTTAAATACAACTTTTACTTTTGAGTTTTAAAATTGAGTTTGTTAAAATTTTAAAAGTATTCATTATGTTTTTATGAAAGGACTAAAAAATATCTATTTTTTTAACTTTTCTGGTTAAATTTTTTTAAATGGTCAAATTATCTTTAGATATCTCATATATTATTTAAATTTGTGTTGGGTTATACCAGCTTCTAAACACTCCCTTTTTTTTTTTTTTTGTAGTGGCTCTCTTAGGAAATTTACAACACCAATTTGAGCAAGTTTTTTTTTTTGTCCATTTTAATAAGAAAGTGAAATCTTAAAAAAGAAGACGTAAACTTTTTGTCACATAGTATTGGATAATTTTAACAAGTTGAATTATTATGTATTACAAAATACACTTTTAACCACAAATTGATAAATAAGTTCGTCATATTTTGCCAACTATAATTAAAAAAAATAGAATTACATCTTTTTTCAAAAAAGATTTCACTTTTTTATTAAAATGAAAAAAAATAAATAAGAAAAACTTGTTCAAATTAGTGCTGTAAATTTCTTAAGAGGTATACTTCAAAAAAAAAAAAAAACACAAAATCTAAGAATTTGAAAGTTGATGTAGCCCAATATCTGAGTTATCCAAAGACAATTTGGTCATTTTTAAAAAACAAACCTAAAAAGTTAAAAGAATGATACTTTTTGTATGGATTGAAAAACACAAAGTATACTTTTTAAATTTTAAAAAATACAGTGGTAAAATTATAATTATATCGCCCTATTATTATAATAAATATTTTAAACATGATTAATTTTAATATAATAACTACACAATTAAATTTTAAATTAAAAATACAAAATTTATTTGAGTATGTTAGTATTTTAAATTAAATTTGAAGATGCTACTTTTTTCTATTATTATTTTGTATAATAAAAAAATATCTGACAAGTAAAAAAATGATTATTGATTAGAAAAGACTATAATACCGCAACCTCGATTCACGTTATCAACAACGGATTTTGTAGTATGTTGGATATGCATCTAATCATAAGTAAATAATTTTCCTATTAGACTAATGTACCCATCGCACCAAATTTTTAAAATACAAAAATTAAAAAAAATGTAGATTGATTTGTAGAAATTTGTCATAGGAGCTCAAGATGCTCACGTCGGAGGAGGAGAAGAAGATGGCGCAGCGGAGAAGAAAATCGCTTCACCAATGGTGGTGGAGGTGGGTCCGTGCTGCCGTGAGAGATGGTTGTCGTCGCGCGCGCAAGAAGAGAGCTCGCTACGGAGTCACGATTCGCTAGAGAGCATGGGTGGACTTGTGACAAAGTATTCTGGCAAGGCGACTCCCTCCGCGTGATGGCGGTTGTCGATCGCAACAGAGGACGGAGAATTGCAGGTTCCAGGTGGCTTGTGACAACGTTTTCTGGAAAGGTCCATCGGCAGGACTATTGGGTTTGGTTGTACGAAGAGGTTTGAGTTGATGCCCGGTGGTAACGGCTGATAATGAACGGCAGATGCTGAGGCGCGAAGATGGTTGGGTTGCAATTTATAGGCAGCGACGGCGGCGATTTAGGCCGAGATTTGACAAAACGGATAATATATTTGAAGGTTTGAAACGCGAAAGAATACAACTAAAATTGAAATCTTGTTGGTAGACAAGAAGTAGTCTTGTGAAAAATGTGATTTTAAACTAGTTTGGCATGAGATTTGAAACTGGCATAAAAAATAATTATTATGGTATCACGGGAATTCTGGTTCACGATGACGATGCTGGCACTGAATTTGTTCGCTACCTAAGAAGGGTCAATGCTGACAATCTTAGTGCGCAGGACCTGCGAGGCTCCTTATGGTTGAGAAGTCAACCTTGTAATTATGTTGTATTTTCATTTTTATTCGAAGAAAAGACAGGACAGGTATCCTTTGAAAATAAGGGAGAGATTCATCACCCTGAGTTATGCACTTTATAGTTTATACAGCTTGTTTCAAGTGAACAAAGGAATATAGGATTTGGGAATTTTGAGCCGAATGGGATCTGAAATTGAATACAAACGTTGTGTTTTTGAAAGTTTATCGGTTTTACGTGTATTTGTCAAAATTCTCGTTTTTTTCATCAGCTACACATGATGCACTTGTTTTATACGGTTCATGTTAGTATTTCAATTTTTTTTCACCCCAAGTTACAGAGACAATTGAATCGTTACTCGTGAGACAAACTCCTCCAATATTAGGATTAGGGGGCGTGGTTCCTCGCAAAATGTTGTAATCTAAGCCCAGAACTATAAGATCAGAGGGTGAAAATTTTCTGCTAGGAAATGGGATCTTCATGACAGCACCTCAAAGATTTCTCATTATTTTTGTCTTTTGACACGGAGATCCGGAGTAAACGCAGATACAGATTTTACGTTTTTCTTAGAGAG